GTTCATTTATGTGAAGAAAAATTGAGCAGAGAGACAGCAGATAGAATTGATTTAAAACAAAAGTGACTTTGGACAGAAAATTATAAAAGTGAGAGTAAATGCTACAAGAAGTCATCTAATGACAACGAAGAATATTTATAACACTCAAGTAAAATTACGCTCTCTTTTACTGCCTAATAAGATAACACCATAGACTCATTTATTAGAAACAAAAATAGACTTACTTGGATTAAAATTTAACAAAAATAAAGCGCAGTTGAATGCAACAGAAAGTAAAAATTATAGTAGCAATGGAGAGCAATGATGAATATCGTACCATATTTGAATCATTAACTTCTTACCGTACACTATTATTTTTAATAATATTTTGTTTAATCTCATGCTTAATTGCTCGTCTTCTTTGTAAATAATGCAAAATAATAAAAAGTGATATAAATGATCGAATAATTTAAGGAAAAGGAACAAGCTGAAGTTGAATGAGTTGTAAAGTAAGTAAAGTCCATTTGTTGACTAGTATAGTTCACGCAACAGATGATTTTTTAGCTGTTTTGATATAAAATTAAATTGAGTGATGCAAATTTTGCTTCTACTACACAGTCTATACAAAACAAGATTACAAGCAAACAAGAAAGATAAACAAACTTTTCGATGACAAACATTCTCCTTTGATCAGACCTTCATTAGATTCAATGCACTAAACTGTTGTCCACGAGATGAATGATAACTAGTAAATTAATTGATTGCGGCCAAATTTCAACTACTTAAGCTCTTATCACAGCTGTTCCTGTTGAATCGGTCTTTTTCTTTCTCCCACACTTCATATTTTTCAAACTTGGACTTGCAAACAATTAATCCAAGTGCCGTTTTATTAAATGATCAAAGCGAAGCACTTACATTTAAGTTGCTTACAGTACTGTCCACTTTGTATCACACTTATTCACATCATATTCCTGAAATGCTAACGTAGAATCAATCACTTGTAAATCTATCCTCAAACACCAAACACGCCATTACTAGTATTTAAGACGAATGCAAGTAACGAGAAGATTCTTACTCTTACTAATTGTGATGACGTTAGCTACAATTTTTGATCTTAAATTCCTTATCAAATTTTTTATTTCTTATCTCTTTCACAAACACTATATGCACCAAAAAAATAAAATATCCAACGTATAGGCGACATTTTTTTCAAAAATACAAAGCTAATCAATGAAAAAAATCGAACATTACATATGATAGAAGTATTCGCTGCGCCAGGCTAGGCCACATTAATGTTTTCTTCACGACTGATTCAAAATGTAAGCATTTAAGATGGAGAAAAATGAAAATGGTAGCAAACGCTATAGAAGTCATCTATAGCAATGCTTTTATATTCATATTTACTAACAAGTAAGCAGAAAGCATATGTTGATGACATAATAAGTCAGTTAATTATTAAAAGTTCCATATTAATCACATCGCAACTGCTATTGCATCATAATTGCATTACAGCATTCCCAGCATGAACTAGTACTAATGAAACACGGAATTAAGTAATTAATCACTTTATCAAATAGATAAACAATTATTTAATTTAACATTCATTCAATTAACCAAACAAGGACTTACCCTAACAAAATAATGCTTTCATAAACTATAAAATCTAAACAAACAATAGTTAACAACAAATATGTTATCAACTATTATATGATTTGAAATCAATAATTACTTGTCTAATTATTGATCTCAATAAATAGTAAACAATAGAAAAGAAATAGTGCTCCTTACTATGCTACCACTTTTATCATATCTTACAATGAAGATTCTGCGCAATAAAGCAGATCAACTCGTTCATAGTTTAGTGAGAAGAAAAGAAAAGAAAATAGCGCATATATTAATTAAACTGCTGATTGATTCAGCAGACATTAAGTCATATTTAAATGTATGACTTAAGAGTTGCTTTCTTTTGCAAAAGTACACGAGAAAAACGTTTATTGTTAATCAACGACGCTAGCTTATTACAACTATAACCAACAACAGATATCTTGAGAATGTAAAAATATGCTACTTCCAATTTATACCCAAAAACTAATTAATTAATCATGCATATATTAAACGTAATCAATTCCTGGTTTCTACGACGCATACTTTATTTCACTAATCTTCCACATCCATATTTTTCACTCATACGTTCATATGCACTATTGCTCTCAGCACAAAGGTGCGTTATTTTCCACCATTTTCCCATCCTCTTCTGCTTGTTTCTTCCTCTAATCTTTTTTTGCAAAATTAACCACACAACATTTTTTAAAATTTACTGACAAAAAGAATCAAATAATTCAAAACAAATATGCGCAAATGATAACTGCACGATATGCGATAATCATACAATTTATAAATATTTCGGTAAATATAAATCTTTATTAAGAAAAAATAATCAATGTTACTTCTTAATCAATTATTGTCGTTTAGAATACAACTCCTAAATGCACTCATATTGTTTGATAGCTGCAAAAACGAAGAAGAATCAATGATGCTAGAATCATCTGTAATTCAATATTTTCGCCAATGTTATTAGTCAATATGTACAAAATATTTCATTCTTCTCACGAGTTCTATCTTCATTTCACACTTGATACTCCTGACTTACTCTTGTATTTTCGAATAAAAACTAATCAAATAAAAACTACGCCACATTATGCTTACTCACTGAGAACCAAAACAAAATTGCAATAAATCAAACAACAAAATTTTAGTAAAGATTAAAAAAAGTTGCCGTCACTTTCTGTACCATACTATTATCCCTGGAAATTCCAAATTTCAAATAAGGCAAGTCTGCTCGTTTTCATTACTAGGTACAAAATACATGCTAAAATATTCCCATACGATTGCTCTAATCAATATCAGTGGTTCAAATAAAATTAATTAAATAGCAAAAAACAAAAACCATACTACTCATGGCAAATTATGATCTGTATTTATGATTGTTAAAAATGATAAAATCTGAAAAACATAATCAATTTCATTAGTTACGCACATAACTGAAAAAGGGCATAACATAACTGTAAGACCAATCAGACAGACCTCACATCAGCGTTAGTATTGCAAATAAAATGTGGAAAATTCCTTCTCTCCCGCAAACGAGGACAGAAGTGTGCATTGACGTTATGTATAAAATATAATCAAAATCTCAATATTTTTTTACTTCTTTTATCGGTTCTTGGAGTTCTTTCAGAAATGATTCAGTGAATGTCAACACTGAATGAGATCTAGTTTCCAGATATTTTGCAATATTCAAAATGTTTTGTTCCTTTTAGCACAAGCAATCTTTTACTTCTTCATACAGACGTATAGTTTGTAATTATGGCCACGAGACATTCATGAACAAGTTCTTAACCTTTCGTTATCATTGAAAGAATCAGCAAATCTTACTGTCATCTCACTGCTGCAGTCACTACTTATTTGGTACAAAACAAAATAAAGAATGAACAAATAAATCATGAAAGTGAGGACTTCAATGAAAAATATTGACCAAACAGAGCGTCTCTTTACTTCCTGATGTAGGCAAACGTCGAACTGATATACAACTATGTGATCTCATCTTCCATCAAACTGATGTCTGACCATACAAAAATAGAGACAAAGGTGAGTAACCTTACAACTGAGATAGCTTAGTTTAGAATCCATTCCATCAATATATTAATAAAAGTATACAAGCAAAGAAAGATTTAAAAAAGCAAGAACCCATATTTTAAAGTGTGAAATGTAAATACTGTCACAGGAGTTTGCTTTTTCATAATTTATATTTGCAATCACAAGCGAGAAAAAAAAACAACATAAAATCAAATATTTATAATTCTATTCATGTTTATTTATCTAATCAATTCGTGGATGTCTCCTCCTTTCATCAAACAAAACATTCAGATAAATACTTAAACAAGGCGATCAGATAAATCCTGCATTCTATACATCTTTTAGAAAATGCTAGAAAAGAAAAATCAAGAAAAGACGAGACTTTCAATACAAAACTTGAAAGAAAAACGAGTATCTATTTACAAAATTGCAGCAGCCATGAGCTGATTAATTATAGCTAAACAAATTTCCAGTGAATCATTTCAAAATATTTAAAAAGCAAACACAATTGCACACTAACACAACGTAGGTCAAAAAATATTTTCATAGTTAGAACAGAAATGTAGCCACCAGAGACTAACAAGAATGAAAGAACACATGCAATAAAGTACATCCAAGCTCTTACTGAATTTGCACCAGTTCATCTTGCAGCATTGAAATATTAAAAAATCAAACTCAAAAAAACTACAGATGCAAAAAGTCTAGTCTGGAACTAACTGCTGACTGCATTAAGATGCAACCATTGTAATTTACTATAACTACAAGTATGCTTTACCTAAATTTACTACTAAAATATCTCTGTAGCGAGCCAAACAATGAAATCTTAAACCGCATTTATTATGTGCAGTAATATGCAAATGAATATTGCTACTATTGTGGAATATAACAGCGAAACAGAAACAAAATCTGTGATATATTTTAAACACATTTGAAGATTTTTAAATTTCAATATGCAACTAAATATTTAAAATTTTACAAAATGATTATAATAATAAATTCTTGTAATGAAAGCGCATTTGCTTGATTTTTTATATCTAAAACAATAGGTGCTAGAAATCAAAGCTGCTACAGTAATTAACAACTAACACATACATAACTTGCGGGAAATCAAATGTAACAGTGAATAGACTAAGATAAAAATCATGAAATTCATAATTTCAAACAGCTGGAATGTGTGCGATTATGGCGAAACATGTACCCGATGAGGTGGTCTAACAATCAATTTTCCACTCTGAAAACACATAGCATTTGTTTAAATTTGCCAAAATGAAATATCAGCAACATAAAAGACAGAAAATTGAGGAAATTACTCAAAAGTGACAATTTATTTCTATCTAACACAAACGGAAGAAAAAGGCTTATTAATTTATATCAAACATGCCACTATCGTACCCTCTTCCTCTACCCCGTTTTCCTTGTCATGAAAAACTTCAACGATGCAGGAAAACAGGAGCAATTGTTATTTACATAGGTCAAAAACATACATCATCACAGCTAAGGCTGAAATCTGCCAGTACTGAACGACATCGCGATGCAATGCTGAAATTAATGCAGCTATCATGCAGTGATATAAATTCAATACTTGTTTACAGATCTAAATTTACTTCACAACGAAGCAATATATTTTAATAGCACTTTTATCCGATTATCAAAATTTTAATTTCCCTAAGCGAAACAACGCAAATGCATAGCATAGTATTAAAGACTTTAACGTTCCCAACTGAAAGCTACGTTTCGTGTTGCAGTGAAAGGACTGCTCTCAAGCAATTCAATACAAGCTAGTGACTCCATGTGTAAAGACAACTCCCTAAGCTAAACACTTCTATGCAGTGACTTTTCTATCTGGCTTAAGATAAAATCATTACATGGCTAAGAATTGAACATGACAAAGCATACGATTTGGTTGCAAACAAAAAACTGACAAGCAGTTCATTGCTTTTCATTTACAACTCCAAGAGAATCAACCCTCATTAATTTTAAATTCCTTTACATTTCCTTTTCATATCAAAATAAGTTTTGAAAATTATAAAAGATATTTTTTATAAACAATACAGGCTGTACAATATCCACTTCGCACTTTTTTCTTTGACCTGCAAAACTATCTAATAAAATTACATCACTCTTTTAAAAATTTCATTTCAATTCTATAAGCTGAAACTTTTATTCTCGGTGGAATGTAGTGGGACAAAAAACATACTACAGATGACAATATAAATGAATGAAAATAAATTAAGAGTTCGAAAAATTCAGTATATAAGCTTATACTGACAAAAATATGAAATGGCTCACCACCAAATTTCAAAACAAAATCAAAATATGAATAAAATGAAGGTGTTATACATATATGAATTAGTATTTAAGAACAAAAGCTAATGGATTTAGAGGTAGGAAAGGAAGAAAATTTTTCAAGTATGGTGTCTAGAAAGTTTTAATATAAATGCAGTAAGAACTTTAGTCTCAACACAATTTCAAGATAAAAGCAACTCTGCCTATATATTTCCGTAATTTCTGAACATTAAACCTAGTATAATGCTCTGCATAAGACAAAAATGCATATGGTGGTTTGATATCGTATACAATGAATACTTTTTTGTTTAAAGACCAATTACCTTCTGATATTGAAGTGAAGAGCACACATTAGAACTTATTCCGCCTTAATTTCACTCCTATTCCATTTTTAAAATAACATTATGATACAGTAAAAAGTATAATATTAATGTATTTTGACTGGAATATTTTGGTATAACAATTTATGCATTTAAAAAGACTTAACATGTGTGTGAGCCAAATGTTACATTAATTTTAGGAGCTTTATTATATTTTAAAACTATAAAATTGACCTACATGCTTGGTGCAACAGCCCGATTGTGTATTCCAACAAAACCAAACAAAAATAATAAAGAAGGCACGCAAGCCGAAAAAACAGGGTGATTTTGCAACGATTCGAGTAAGGTCATCTGAAGAGAATTTTAAATTAGCAGAATTAAAAAAAAAATGCTTCATTAGACAGTCGTTTGTTTTCATAATAATTTTAGTTAAAAAAATTGAAATATCACGTACAGAACATATGGATGGATCTTTTGACGTATGGATTATACTGATCTATTTTGACTGGAACATTTTGGTATAACAATTTATGCCAATAAAACGTACGGTTCAACAAAATTTTAAATTAATTTGAACTAACAGAATTAAAAAAGTTGCTTTACTAGACAGCCGTTTGTTTTGATAATAATTTAGGTTAAAAAAACTGAAGTATCACGTACAGAACGTATGGATGGATCTTTTAACCAGAAATACGCACTCCACAGCGTACATCCAAATGCAATCAGTAACACTACTGAAATATCAAAAAAAATTATAAAAGAATATAATTAGAGCCTTTTATTTTCCTTTTTGAAAGCAAAAAACAATGAAGTACGTCAATCTTGTATCAAAGACTGTCTAACTCACAAAATTGAAAAGTTAATCACTTGAATAGAGAGGAAAATCCTAAATTATTAAGAAGTTTTGAATCAAATAGTCTCTTAAATTCAATAAAAGAGATCAGTAATTCACACGAAATATTGCAAAACCTATCATATCCTCATAATGGTATTATTTTTTTCTTAAACAAAGGAGATGCGTTGAACTCAGTGAAAAATAAATAACTGAATTCAATTCTCTTGTTGAATTTTTGAACCTATATCGAAAAAACAACTTACAACGCCATCTTGTTGCAGCTGGCTGCATGCTCTGAATTACTTCAGTCAAGCGTCTTTCGAAATAACGTAGGTCTACAAACATCCCACTTTATCAAAAACAATATAAATTTCAGATTTATAATCAGGCATAAAGACATAAAAAATTTAAACTAATTACATTTAAGTAACAGACAGCAAATTTTTGTACATTTGTAGGACCAAATATTACAAAAGAGAACTCGTGAATAAATCCTGAAGTTTTATTATTTTTTAAATTCTACCAGTTAGAAAAGATAAAAATCAATACCTTCACAAGCTGCTGAAGTTTCATCCATTGTTATTCAGATGAGTTTCGTATCTACATTACTTTGATGAAGCATTAAATATGCATCTGTAAAAGCTAAAAATTTGTAACTTCTATAAAATGAAACACTTAGTCTACAAATACGTCAGTTTACTCGTTATAATTTATACAAACATCGTTCTTCAAACGATAAAGGTTTCCATTTTGAACTATTACAATGTGCAGAAGATATGATAAACAAGTAGAGTGAGGGATGGTAGAAAGCAACTAAATGAAACAGGAAATCAACGAGAAGGTAGAAAGCTAATTCGGTATTAGTTGGAGTAAAAGTATTAAATTAAAGTCTTAATACCAGTAATGCTGGCTGTTCTTTTATTCTTGTAATTGCTGTTTGGCTGTGTTGGATAAATTAACTATTTTTTAACAATTTTATTATTCCAGAAACCGTAAAACTGATTGTTCGAGAAAAAAAGATTTCACGTAATTATTCACTTAGTATTGCTGAATTTATTACAAGTAATAGTAATTAGTCACTTACAAAAAATATTAAGACAAAATTATTCCTTGTTAGATTCATGGTATCAGTTTCTTTAGTTCTTTTTATTTTCTACAAAATTTTTCAATTAGTTTCTTTTGTTTTTTTTTCTCCTTACTTACAGGTATCTATTTATTATCGAAAAATGAATCATCGAGAATAAGTAATAAATTGGTTTGAATGACGCTGAAACTTTTTCAACACACACAATACGTTAGTTAAGTTGTTTTCATTTTATGTGTACATTATTTCATTTTATTTACAGTCACTTCGCATGTTTATTAGTTATTTATTGTGCTCATTTTTCTGCTGCATTTTTAAGTTTAAGTACAGATAAATGCCTCAGTGGTGTGTAATTTTCTCAGTCGAATTCAGTTTTTAATTTCCTAAACCATTTCTTTCAGTTAATTTTCACTGAGGCAACAGCTTTCTTTTTGCGAAATCAGTTTCAGAAAAGTTTCAGAAAAACTTTTACTGAATCGCTCCCAAAATATTGCATCTAGTGGGCACATGTTTCCATTTCTTGTTAAGAAAGAAGTAACACATTGCGAAGTACTTTATTTCTGGCCTTTTAACTGAATAATTGTTTAAATACTGCAAGATCATCGCTCAATTTATGTTTATTATTGTACAGTTCATGTTTATTTTCGCAATTTTTATTTATTATTTATATTTACGTGTATCGCGCAATTTATGTATATTATATATGTTTACCGCGCAGTTTACGTATATTGTATATTATTATTATCATCATTATTATTGTAGCTATGAGCTCATCATGCCAGAAACGGTTGTATAAAGAGTACCAACAACTGACCCTTGAACCACCTGCTGGCGTACACGTGACAGATGACTCGACGCAAGATTTGCGACTTTGGACAGTTCATGTTGATGGTGCACCAAATACGCTTTATGCTGGGGAACAATTCACTTTAAGAGTAATTTCATGTTATATTAGGATTGAGCTGTTTTTACTGAAATTAATGATGACTGTAATCCTTTCTTGAAAGTAGTGCGTGCTGTTGATCTCATACTTTGCAGTGCTTAATTTTTCGTTATGACGTATTGATATTGGATATTCTTTCGGTGGTGCGTTAAGTTTTCAGTAAGAAAAAAGAAGAAAAAACAATAACAGTATTATTTTGATGTAACTAGTAAGCTGTATTTAGCTTTTTAGTTATTTCCCTCATTAATTATGAAATGGAATTGTTGGTTTCTAACTATTTGCAGATTATAATTTCAAAATATGAGTGCACTCAGGCAAGCTAATTTCTTATAGTGCAGTAATTGAGTGCAAGTGTTAGCTGATTGCGCTACCTATCAGATTTATTACAATTTTTATTTCATGTGATAAATTGTTATCACTTCATCGATTTGTAGGAAAAAAATTTTGAAGTATAATTCTGTTCACTCCATTTGTATGTCTGCACTTTTTATGCTTTTTTCATCTAAAGAGAAAAAACGGTTGCTAGAAACGCTGTACAAAAGTTTAAGATATAAAATAGCTTGAAACTTAGAAGCAATGGAATGAAATAAAAACTGCAATTGCAATATTTCAGTAATATCACTTAAAATACAAAATTAGATTTGGATTTTTTTTCAGTTTCGTTTTCCTGATGAATATCCATTTTCATCCCCTGAGGTTATTTTTGTTGGAGATAACATCCCTGTTCATCCACATGTGTACTCGAATGGACATATTTGCTTATCAATTCTAAGCGATGATTGGACTCCAGCACTTTCTGTCCAAGCCGTTTGTCTCTCCGTGCTTTCCATGCTTTCATCATGTAAGGAGAAAAAACGACCACCAGATAATGCTATATATGTTCGCACTTGTAGTAAAAGTCCAAGTAACACGCGGTGGTGGTTTCATGGTATGTTTTTTTACTTTGTCCAGAAAATTTTCTTTCTGCGGAAAATCTTTAAATCATTTTCTTATTAGTTCATTCGCCATTCTTAACTAAAAAAATTTTTTGTCTAAGTAAAGTTTTTTCTAGCTCTATGAACGTTTTTGTCTGTAATAATATTAACTATGAAAGGACTTATAAAATCATTTACTGAAGTAGTCAGATATTGAACTTACTGGTAGCAATGCATTTAAAAAGATGGTAAAAACATTTTCGTATGAAACTGGATTTGAATCTTCCAGACATTATGGGAATTAAAAGCATGCAGTATAGCTTGAAATTTTTTAGTTCAAACATATGGTGATATATAGTGGCCGCTCTCAAAATTTACGTAAACAAGAGATAATTTTTGTGTTTCAGATGATACAATATGATTGAAAAATAAACTGATGAGGGTCCTGAAAAGTTTCTGTGAAATGCAACAGATATTTATGAATTTTTGAATTTTCGTTTTTTTTACAGAGTCTCAGAAATTGTTTCACTGCATCGTGTACTGCTACTTATTTTTTTTCTGTGTGTGTTCTGAAAGCACTTCAATGTTCCCTATTAGCTTTAGTTGTAAATTGCTTGATCATCATATTTGGGACTTCGCTCAAGTTAGTCACATATTACATGTAATGAAGTAACAGTTGCTCATATTTTCAAAACGTGTTTCACATAATTTCAGATAGACATCTAAAAAGCTGTAGACAGTCTTGCTGACTCCAGTCTTATTTTTGTACAATTTAAAAGAAAAAACATGCAGTTTGCAGTTAATTAGTAATCTAAAAACGATTTGTTTGAATGAGTGATTCTAAGTATACTGTTTTGTGAAATAATGGGAACTAAATTGTCTTCCTTGAAAAAGCAGTCATACTGCATTAGAAACAGGATCTATTTTAGTATGCTAATGTGTTAAAAGTTTAATTCGATTTGAAAAATGAGTTATAGCATGTTAAACATAAGTTCTGCTATCTTTTCTTCCATAGTATGTGTGACTGTTCAGTTCTCAAAATTTATGTTAATAAAAAATGTTAGAAAATGCCAATTTTGACCGGTGTGTTATGAATATACTTGTATTTTTATTTTCTAGCTGCAGAAATTTTTTGTCTTTAGATAACAGAAACTAATTTTTTCTGATTCTCGAAAGACAATTTCATTGTACTCTGATGCCTGGCCGAAGAATATTGCAATATTTTTACGATAATATATGATAATAATACATTAACAAGTGTATAATATAATAGCACCACATTAATATCAAGAATTCTTCATTTTGAGAATGCATATCAAAGCCACGTTTTAACCTTATTACACTGTGTAGCACTTGAAATCATTTGAAATCACTATATTTAATTTGAAATGCAGCTTGTATTGTTAGGAAGAAAGTAGTTTGATTGTAGATTCTCTTTTGTGTCACAATTTATATCGTCAAAATTACGAATAGATTTGATCTGTATCTGGTTAAAATATAAGTAAACTCGATATGTATGATAATAGTCATATTTAGTGTGATCTTATTAATTGTAATGCATTAAGTACTGCCATCGTTATCTTGCAGTTGCAATGCATGACTTTATGTTGCATGTGAAAGACTTCTGCTGCAGATTTTTGTATCACTTCATACGTATCTTTTTGTTTTCAGAGCTGATATAGAATAATTTTGTATTCTTATGTGATTTAATTATAAAATTTTTATAAAATGTCAGTTTTCATGCTTGAAATGTATTCAAAGTATTCATCGTTGTTAAAACTAGGATGATACATATTAGTGAAGTTACTTTTTAAGAATTATGGACTAGAAGTTAAAAAGGAAAACAAAAGACTGCAATATGGAAGTACTAGAAACACTTTCTTATGGGATATAGGACACATTTTTACGCAGGTTGTTATCCTTAACTTGTAAAATATTGCTGCTCTCATTATTGGGCAGAAATCTTTGAATGGCTAGATGGTTGAGAAGGACGAGGGAATTCAGTGTGACACATTCATGAATTATTTGTTTCACAGTTGAATAGTAAATTAGTCGGTGGGAATAATTATCAAGTGTGGAGTTTTAACTTTCATTACGTTTCACATTACTGATTACTTATAGTGTTTAGTGAATCCGTGATAGGTTAGTAGCTTGAAGAGATATCTTTCGGTACGTTGGTGTTAGTTTACTATTAGTTCTGCATAGTATATTTAGCTAAATTTTGGTTATTGGAGTTTTTTGTATGAAAATGTTGCAATGCATGCGAAATCTACGTTAAGTACATTTTTTTGTTTATTATAATCATGGAGCCACATTTCCAGTATTAATTCTTAATTCAGTAAATAATAAGGTAAAGATATATACGTGATATAAAATTTACTTATTTTGATTTCAATATTTGACGCAGAAATTCCTGCGATCATCGAGGTTTTTTATAACGGATTGATATAAGATAGCACTCAAATGTGTTTGTTTTTCTACCCGCTCATAGCAGTTTATATGAGTCAGTAAATAAATATATTTATACAAGTCTCTATTTTTGACGTTCTTGCAAAAAAATTTATTTCTCGATGAATATTTATTCAAACTAAAATTGTTGACATGGCTGGCTGGATGTTTTATTTTATCATTCGGTTATTTCTCGTCATTTTGACAAGACTAACATCTCTTGCTTTTATCTAGTCTAATTATCTCATTTTAACGTTACTTGCATGACATTATGCGTGCGTACGTGTGTGCATTGCAACGTTTACAGTGCTCATTTTTAAATTTCATTTTTTTTTCTCTTGAGTTTATAATATATACGGCATACATGGATGGCATTACTTTTTTGCTTTCATTTTAAAAAAGAAATCTGATTGCTAGCGTCGTTGGATAGTGATTTATGTCTATACTTCTCCACGCATTTTTGCTCATAATTATTATTTTGAGGTTTATATTTATTGTACGTGTGCGTGTTTGCTTATACTTATCGTTTAATACTTAAACTTTTATAATGGATTATGTGGATGAAAGAAAAAAATTATCCTGAAATACTAAGTAATATACTTGATTTATGAATGTATTTTTGAAAATTGCAAAAATTTCTAAGCAATGAAAAAAGTTGATTACTCTGTCATATTCTGGTATAAATTTATTCCTTCAAATGATTATACTGTTCGGACTTGATTCCGCTCATACTTCTTATATAATCAATACAATTAAACAGTTGAAAAAGCAGGAAGCATTTGTCGATTATTCGTGGCATTATTATTTTTCAGTAATTATAGCGATGAATTAATATAAAATGAAACTGAAAATTTAATTAGTCAACATTTAAAATGAAATTGCGTGTTGCAGAAATTGTAGTTGATAAAATAGAAGATTAGTATGACTTTGGAATTTATTAAGAAAGTATATTAGTAACGAAAGTACTAATAATGCGTTAATGTTAGCAACTAATAAAAATGTCTTCCTACTTCTATTTAAATTTTGAAAGTTATCCTTCCTTCTTCATTCGCGGGACTTTTCTTATTTTTATCAATGATTACATTTTCCAATTTTGGATATGACACGCATTTTGACACTGGATTAGATTTGCATAGTTGTAAACTTTTAAGTGATAAAATTCATTTTCAAATTACACCATTAAATTATATCATATATTTATTATTGAACATTATAAAGCAGTATTATTTGAAAAACTATGATTTGTTATTTGTACTGATAGTGATAGAAATAGTATTATAATTATTAGCGGCAATAATATCACTGAAACTTTTGATTTTATAAGAAATTTTTCTTGCCTGCAATGCACTTATAGTTCACAGTTGTTACTTCTACAAGTAGAACTGATATAGTTGAAGTATCGGTTTCAGATGATAAAAATTCATCAGTAAGTATTGCTATTAGCTGAGAAAATTTTTTTGATGCATTATACTTGCAAAAAGGAAGCCATTCTTTCTTTTCACAAATAATGTCCTCATTTTATGCAGATTTTAGATTATTGGAAGATTTTACAAGTGATTATTTTTTAGAGTAAATTAAACTTATTGTATTATATGGTTGAAAAAAAACAGCGAATAATTACTGTAATTGCTCATAAATTTTGATTGCGACTTTTAGTAATAGCAACTAATTTCAATTTAGTACAAACTTGAAATACAGCAATGTGCCTACTATTTACTCATTATCGTTGCTGTTTGAATAATACAATTTAGTATAAAGTAAATTCTGTAGAAAATGATATGTTTTACAGGCGTTTGTTTGATCATTCATTCACTCAGTTAGTCATTGTTTGACTCAAAGAAAAGAATGCTAAGAATGCCAAGATAGTCTTGAATTCCATTAATTTTCTCCACTTTACTTAAGTCTTGTTTTGCTGTTTGTTTGCTCTAGCATATACATGTTAGTGAAGAATTCAAATTAAATTTAAAGATTTTGTATTTTTCATCTCTTCACTTAAGGTTATTAACACATTACTTACTCTATGCCTTTTGCAAAAGTATTCTCCTTATTAACAGCAATAATTAACTA